TTTTGTATTATTTCATTTAATTTTTAATATTGTTTCATCTAATCTCATCTCGTTTATTCTAATCTCCTCTGAACTAATTTTATAATTTTAATTTTTTTATAATTTTTTTTAATTTTTCGAAAAATTGTTATATCTTCACTTCTCTCATCTAATCCCATGTCATATTTCCCCATCTCACACAATTTTTTATGAAGCTCTATTAGGCATGTCCATGTTTTTAACCCTCATCTCATCTCATCTCATCTCATCCCATATAAAGATAATTCATGGACTATATGAACTAAATACTTTTCAATTTTATTTTTTTACATTGTATTAATGTTCTGCACAACACCATTTTGCTTTTACTCAACAATACCTTCTGAAATATGTAACTTTACACACATCCTATGTTATGTAGGTCTTTTGAGTACACCGATCAGTCTGTTTCAGCCTAAAAGTACTGACACTCAAAAAAACATGTTTTAAGAGGTTTACTGTAGTCTCCAGAGGAATTGAGCAAAGATTAAATATGTGTTGTCTATTGTCTTCTGAATAAATAATCCACATGCGAGGGGGGGAAAAAAGGTCTGATTAACCAATGGAGTTGCAGCATGTAAAAAAATAAACAATAGAGAATCCTCTTGCTTATACCACTCCTCTCTTGACTATGCCCACTATAAAAAGTCTATGTATTTCAGCACAACAGTGTGGCTATTTCAGCTTAACAAACAGAAAACAGCAACAATGAATGTTGCATCAATAGTCAGAAACACAGTGGTGATTCAAGTGGATCAAAAAACCCCAACTGAAACAGAATACATACTGTTGATGCTGTAGGTTTTACACACAGTAAATAAAAATGTAATCAAGCTGATGTTTCCACAATTCGTTAGTTCCATTCTGACGGCTTGGGGAGAGACAGATTAAATATGAGAATCATCATTTTTAGTTTTTTAATCCCTGTTTCACGGTTGAAATAATATAGTGGATGAGCATGGAGCAGAGCTTCATTATTCTGATTTAGTTGTAGCTATGACATATGACCCATGTGACATAGTATTTTCACTATACTGCATTACATCTTGGCAGACCTCTCTCTTGTTACACAAGATGAATAAAGCTTCATAGTTTAGTTTACATTGACTTTTTTTTTGTCTGTAAACTAAGAGACATGTTCTTGGCTTGTCTTTGTGTTGTTTCACAATAAAAGCATGCCATTTAATCACACACACACACACACACACACACACACACACACACACACACACACACACACACACACACACA